CATTCTGATTTAAATATATAAAAATTATCAATAGTTTAAAAAAAAAACAAAACAGATGAAAAATATAAAACTTTTGAAAATAGTTAAATTTAAAAGTGAATAAAATTAACTTTATTAAAATTATAACGTGTCTTTAAAGTCGAATAAACTTAAATTCGTGTTATTTTTATACATTTAAATTTATCTTATTATTTAATTTAACGTGCTGATGTATTTTAAAGTATTTAGGAATTTAAGAAATTATTTTAAGACAAATATCTAGTCAGATTTGTGAAGTAAATCTTCAATTTCCAATAATCCTATAAGAACTAAGGTATGTAAAGCAATTTTATATCAACTTGCAAATATTATAAAGAATTACATATTATTAAACTATAGACATCATTATATGATAAATCGTTCTGAATGAAATTTAGTTGGTCTAAAATTAATTAAGGTTATATTAAAAACAGTAACATAAATATATATTTTGTAAAGATTCAGTAATGTACTTAACTATATCATATGAATAACAAAATATTATGAACGACTTGATAATTATGTTTACAGCTATTATTTAAAGCTATAGAATATCCTTGGTAAATATGAGAAATTCAATAGAAAACTTTTCTACTTTTTAATCAAAATTTTAAAATCACAAAAGTATTACAAGAAAGTTGTTGAATTATTTTATTGTATTAATAAAAAAACAAAAAAATGTAAATAACTCATTTTTATCTAATAAAGAGTTTTTATTTTGATATAGTTCACAAAAATGTCAACAATACCGTTAAAATATAAAATAATAAAAATATATGATTAGGTTATGAACTTTATCTTCAGATAACCAGACTGTTTCAAATAACATATTATATTGTAATATAAAATTGCATTCGACAACTCGTAACTGTCAAACAAATCAATCTCTGAATATTTCTACATTTTCCATGGATTAAAAATTTTATATTTTCTTTGAAATATTAGAGAAAATAATCCAGAAAAATAAACAAATATGTTTTAAATATTTTTAGACACACTTTCAATGTAATAAATTGTTTAACTACTTATATTATTAATTCTCGAAATAAAATGGCAAAACAATATTTTTACTTTTAAAATTAAAAGTATAAGTGTAAATCTAAATAATTATACTATAAAGTAAGTCCTCGTTTAAAGTCACCCTATTTAGCTTTGTTTCGTTATTACATTGTAGAAGTTTAAGTCTTTATGTTTCGTTTAAAACTACAACAATTTCAGCGGTACGTCTTTTTTAATACAAGTGTTAATCAAATTTTTGTTATATGCAATAATAAATATTTTGTACGTTAAGTCATTAGAGTAAGTAATTTAATTTCAGAAAATACTGTTATCGTTTTTTACCATGTGTAGGTACTATTTTAATTAATTTTATTTAAAATTCTTAATTATTTAGTTTTATTAACAGTAAGTTTGACTTATAATAAAAATGCATATTATTTTATAGTTTCTTGAAAACAAATAACTAATATAGATATAAGAATAGTTTGTAATATTATATATTAATTATTTTAGCGCAATAACTTACAATAATTTAGTTTCAAGGGTAATTTGATAATATTAATCGTAAATCATACTCGCTCTTTAGGACAGTAATAATTCCTACATTACATGTTTCGGTGTTAATTATTCTTCATGTTCACTGAATAATAATTTGAATGATAATCATTATTTATTAAGCACTTTCAAATGCTCTTAGTCCTTAAATACCTACTTATTTAAACAAAATATTTTTTATATATTAAATATATTTATTCCATTTAAATTTTTAATTATATTGCTAAAAGAATTGACTATAGTTAAAAATTAAAACTTTAATAATTAGTTTTTAACACTTTCTATTTATAGGTATTTTTATCAAGTATAATTTTGGTTTTATAAAATAAAATATAAACCTGAATTAAAACTACAAATCATAATCACTAACCTGATGTGTTAAACACCTTTTTACAGTCACAAAAGCATAATATATTAATATTTTTATAAATAATTTAAAAGATTGCTCTATTTTTCATCATAATTATAAAATCAATAGAATATTTAAATAGTAGGTTATGTTAGTGTGTCATTTGCAATGGTAAAATACAAAATAATCAAGTCGATTATGTGTTAACTTGTTCTTCTCTTATACTTTTATACAATTGGTTTACTAATAATTCACCTAAAATCTTATGTCAAAATGTCCATTTAAATATTAAATATAATTTAAATGCTCGATTTACCTTTATTTCCATGGTACTCATAAAATATACAAATTCAAAATATTCAAATACATATTTTGAATTAGCATAATAAACGCCATTTTGATACCGCACTGTGATTACAATATAAACTAAACGCAAACAATATGGACATACCACATTTTTCCAACGGTCGATTTACTGATTTGAAAGTAACGTATTTTTATTTTATTTGCTTGTAAAAAAATGGTAACTCATACATAGGTAATATTTTCATAATGTTTTAAAAACATTATGAAAATGTAATGTAATTTATAATGTTATACAAAAATATTATTATAAAGCGTATATTGGGTATCGAGTGTTTAGTTCAGTGATTCATGAAAAAATGTATTGATTACTATCATGGTAAAATGTCATACTATCAATAATATTTGAACAAAACCATAATATCTTTATTTTGTATTGTATTTTCTTGTTATTTATTTTTTTTTTTTTTTCAATAAATTAGTACAATATGTACCGTAAAATAAGCGTATTTGTACGGGTACTCCTACATATTTAATATATTAATATAAATAGAAAGGCGAAATCTTTGAATATAATTTCATAAAATTTAACCTGCCCAAAAATGGAATAAATACCTTCTAATTGATACATTATTATCTAATATCAAATTAATTTTAGTCTTCTATAGAACCGCATTGTGTAAGACGGCGCATTGTATATGCAAAATGACTACATATGTGATATCATCAGCAATAATTAAATCAGAAATCAGTTCTATGGATACTAATATCTTTATATCCTCATTACGTCTCCAAACATTAATTCATTTAAAATTATATTTTGAAACTGTAATGGCAAAATAAATTTTATTAGATTCATACAAATATAAATTTTTAAGTTTTAAAGTACAAGCAATCAGTAATACTTAACCAATATATAAAATGTTTTTAAATGTTACACTTAGTAATTTACATCATATTAAACTAGATCTACGTGAAAAAAATTTCCCTTTGCTCAAATATTTAAGAAGCAAACTTTGTTTTTTTTAATTTCAATTATCAAACTTAATCAAGTTTAATAATAGACCACTTCTAAAAACTATTATAATTCTTATAAAATTATGTTATATTTTAAAACGATATGTTTGGTTTAAAAAAGTTTATTAAATTAAGTTCTAAAAAAAGTAAGAAACCATTGATGCACAGTAGATTTTGAGTGCGACTCATAAACCTCATAATTTAATAGCTCGATTTAATGAATGTAATATATAATAACATATAAAAAATTATTTTAAGCTCGGACGATATGTCAGCCTATCTATATGACAATAAATATATTTTATTATAATTATATTTATAAGTATATAGATTTTGCTATCATAGTTATTTATTTTACAAATATTAGTACGCAGTAAGTTTGACTTAATTTTACCAAAAAATTCACATTTATTATAGGCAATAGCATACGATTAATTTAATTGTATACGCGAACATAAATTATAATAATATACGAAAAATTTTTAAATCTGTTATTTAAACTTTAAATGTTTATATAAAAAAAAAAAAAAATTATGATAAAATATTTTTTAAACTTTAGGTCTTAGTTAAACTACTTAAAAGTAGTGTATTACATTTTTAAGCCGTAGTCATAAAAATCAAAAGTTTTAGACATTTTTAATTACTAATAATTTTCAAATTTTTATAAATTTGTCGATATTATATCATAATTTAAATTCAACATTTTTGTTAAAAAAATTCACTATAATATTTTATTATAATTATATAATATTTTACAGCCAAACATAAATAAATAATATATTTTGAAAATATTTGATAAAAAATTAATAACACTTTGTAATTATTATTTTTTTTTTTATTCTTCTTACGAATTATTATTGTAAACATAAATTTTATTCAATTGACATAATAATGTGGTTAAGTATAAAATAATATTGATTTTTTAAATACATTGAAAATTGATGCTCAGATTAAACAGATTTTTTTTTTTATTTACATTTTTGAGACGGTTTGTTGATTTTATCGAACTTAACAAGATTTTTTATGCGGTATACATTCATTATTTATATTAACAAAAACATTTAGTTTACTCCGTGTCAACATTTAACTAATATTATTCTATGCATGTCTTACCTAGATAGCGAATACAACTTTACTGAATATCGTATAAACTTAATAAATAGTTTATTTTTTAACTAAAACTTACTCTCATAGTTGTGGATATAAATAATACACACACTAATCACTACATATAAATAAGAATTTAAAATATGTACATTTTAATGTACATATTTGTACTCTATAATATGATTATAATACTATATTTAACATTCTAAATAATCCAATCAATTAAATGTTCTTTCATTATAAAACAGTTATGATGATTTTATGTAAATTAAGGTTAGGTATAAACTAGGTATAGCAAATATATAATAATTTATTCAGTTTGTTTGAATTTATACATGAGGCTATTAACTCATATCGATGAACGATGTTATTAAAACCACTACCATACACGAACAGAGTTTTATTTTTATTTGATAAGTAGTGATAGTTAATTATGCATGACGATGGAACTTGCCTTTTATAAAAATATAAACAAATTTAATATATAACGTTAATCGTAATAGTCTTTTGATACATTTTTACATTTTTAAAAAAAAAAATTTAATTCGTTAAATGTTTAACGCGTATTGGTTTTTAAAACAATAGCACAGTTATTATTTTAATATAAATAAATAATAGAATTTTCAAATTAATTTGTTTTAAAAACACTTACCAAATAGCCATAATGTAGTAAGGAGTCCAACATACAACAAACACTATGACAATAATGATTGTCATCTTTAATGTTCTACTTTTGGCACGTCCTAAAAATCCCAGACGACGTACATTATCAGTACCTAAAATAACAATGGTATTAAATAATATTAATATTTAAGTATGTTATCATTGATTATAGAAATATATATATATATATATATATATACATTAATTCGATAAAATATTATTAAAAAATATATATTAATTGATTGGATTCAACTGAATAATATAGTTTGTTTCATATTCAAACCACCTCACTCGGAAAAATAATTTAATACAAACATACATGTAGACCATACCTTCAAAATATAATGTATTTTTTATAACTGAAATTTATTTGGTTTTTTATTTGTTTTGTATGTTTGTATATATTTTCTTAATTTAGCAATCGTTTTACTTTACTATACTAAACTAAAAAACTTCAACAATCAAATACATATAAACTACTTCAAATATGTTGTGTATGTTCATCCAAAGTATAATATAGAATAAAACTAAAAATACGAATTTAAGAATCTACAATGTATTTTGTTCTATTGTTATACAAAATACTTATATATATATATATATATATATATATATATATATATATATATA